TGCAGAAGATATGTTTCATGTTCAAGATATATATCATACTTTCTTTTCAATTTTTCTATTTTAATTACATATAGGTAGAATATCACAGACAATAGAAAAACATTTGCTTAATGAATATAAAAAGTTAACAAAATTTTATTAGATGAATAAAAATACATTCTATACTAAAAAAGGTTTTTAAAATAAACCCAAGAAAAATGATACAAAATCAATTAAAAGTGTCACATAAATCAGAGATATATTAATTAATGATTTAAATATTGGTGTAAATTATTGAATATAATAATTAACTAATATTATTTATGAAAAAAAAATGAAATAAATCTTGATTAATATTAGATTAATAACAGTTCAGATTTATGAAAGAAATATAGCTTTTATAAATCATTTATAAACAATATATTTATTATTTAAAGATACTAAACTGAATTAAGTTATATTTTTAATTCATTAACTAGAATAATTTTGAATAAATTAAAAATAAAAACTTGTTTTTATGGTTAAATCAGATTATAAATAATATCCTTCAATAAGTTATAAGAGGTTTTATCTTTTCAATTTTGAGAAAATACATAAACTCATAATACTATGTCCTTTTATTAAAAAAAGGTTATTTGTTCCTTCTTTAAATTTTCTTTGTGTATTTTCTAATTCACTAATGTTTTAATTAAAAGTATAATTGTTTTATATAACATCTAATAATTAAAAATCAAAAAATAAAAAAGAATGAAAAAATAATAATCATAAATATTCCACTTCACAAAAATGACACTCATCAGAAGAGTGTGTTTTGGTTTATAACCCAGTGGAAGATTATTTGCTTAGTAATTCTATTGATATGATTATTTCTATCAATCCTACGAACTATGCAACATCATAAATAGACAATTCATCACTCAATTAAACTAAATACCCTATTAATTGAACTTGACCTTTTCCTTCAATAAACAATTGTTTTGATTTTCCTTTTTCAATAAGCATCATCATGCAAACTTGATTTGGGTTTGTTTGTTCATCCAAACGATATAACATGATCTTCTTTTCATTTTCATAAATGTATAACTGTGCATAACTGTCTCTTTCTTTTGTTGGGAACAATGCAATCTAAATGTTTAATTTTTCTTTTCACTTAAATAACCACTTCACCAAACGTTTTTAATAAAGAGAGACACTCCATCTTCAATGTCCTTGAACTCAATAGAATTGCCACAAGGAACAAGTTGGTTATACAACTGAATAGTAGTCATTGTGATAACAAAAATTAAAATAGAAAAAGAATTTGATAAACAAAAAAAAACGTGGAACAACGTCAGAACCTTTCATTTACTTTATATTTTTATTTTTTTGATTCATTCTTATCATGTCAAAAGATTTTATAAACCAAACAGTTATCACTAAAATACGTTAAATGAAGAAAGTGATAATAACACTAAGAATAACTATTACTAATGCTACACTTCCATCATGACTGTTATCATTATTATCTGGAATAATTGTAGAACAATTAGAAGGAGTATGGTCAGAACACATTTGATTACAACTGCCTTCTTTTAAAATTAATTTAATGTCGTCAAGATAAAAATCAATGTTACCATTGGTTTTACTTTGGAACTCAATTCCTCCAAAAGTAGTTCCATCATTACCGATTTCGGTCATTTTAAAGCTAACTTTTTGCCACTCAGTTGTAGTAGTAATAGTTTTAGCGGAAGCATCAGTCTTTCCAAAAGCCCAGAACCAAAATTCTGCATTGGCATTAGACTTAATGTAGAATTCAACAGAGTCATAAATATCAACTAAAACAGTATGAGAATTAGCTAATATCTGGAAATTTCCCCAAGCAGATAATGAAGCTTTAAGAGCAGAACTTCCTGAATGAGCATTGTTTTGAACAATTGTTACAGAATTTTTGTTAGTGTATGTCCAAAAAGAGTGGAATGAATCTGTAAAGATAATATCAAAAGATGGTAATGGACAACATTCCAAAGAAGAAGATGGTTTGTTTATTTTAGTAAGTGTTGTTGGCTCAAAAAAGGTGTTATCAGGGATACTAAATTGATTATTTCCTTCATAAATTTTATTTGATACAATATCATTCATTATAATTGTTGCAGTATCACCTGCAATAGAAGTTAAAGTAATTGTGATTGGGGTTGTTATTGGATTGCCATTTGTTGCTTGATATGCCCAATAATTAGATGTTCTTGTTAGTTCTTGATTAGTTGAACCAAATGATATTTTCACCCCTTTTAATCCAATGACATAATTTCTTACATAAAAACCTAACCAATATTCACTCACCCCTTCTTTTGTTAATAATTTTACATTTCCTGTCACGTCACAAGCAACCATCCTGTATGTAATGTCACAATGCCCTGTATCTTTCTCACAAATTTTTGGAAATGCGTTAGCAGCTAAATCAAAATGTGTTTTATCTGAAGCACACCAATCTGAATTACCATTAGCAGGACATAAATCTGTTACCATAAATCGTATTGACCCTTTTTCTCCAACTGCTTCATAGCAAATTCCACATTGTTGACTGGAAAGGTAAAACGCTTCATTTGGTGCAGCTCTAAACATTGTATCTAAATTATCAGTACCTAAATGACATGCAACAGAGTCAGTATCATATCCTTCATAATAAGTAATGTCAGCTGTTTTACATTCTGATAAAGGAGTTAAATTTCCAAATGAATAACCAATAAATAAAACAATTAACATCTTTTTTTATCAAAAAAAAGGAAAATTCCAAGTTCTTTTTTTTTCTTCTTTTTTTTTAATTCATTATTCTTTTTAGTATTTTGAATGAAAAACTTCCAAATTTAAAGATTCTTTTGACTTATTGCTATTTTCAAAAAAATTACTTAAAAAAAATTCAAAGTATTAATAACTAATAATGAATTATTAACAGAGTGTTGTTTGTGTAAGAATTACTTTTTTTTGTAAGTTGAGTTGTTGAAGAATTAATGAAATAGATTCTCGGACTTTCTTTAATAGTATTATTTTATCTTCATATTTTTTAATACCTTCTCCATTTAACCCATTTACAAATTTTCTAATTTTTAGTTCTTTTATTTTTACTTCTCCTTGGAGAATTGAACAACAAATAATCAATTCATCAAGTGATTGTGTTAATAAACCTTCACGGATCTGTTCAATAACTCTCCTTAATAGTTCGTCTTTGACTGGTTCAATGTTTTTTCTTTCTATTTCATTGAGTTGTGTTTTAATAAGAGTTGTTGTTTTCTTTGAAAGTCTTTTCATCAAGTTTATTATTTGACACCTTTTTAGTTTTCCATTTATCTTTTCTGTATTGTTCTTTTCACTGAAATTCTTTTATCGTAAGTTTGGTTTCACATTTATAAAACAAAATTATATTCTAACATCACCAAAAAATAAATATTAAGATTTTGTTTTGTTGAAAGGTAAAATTATTTATTTTTGATAAAACAGGACAACAACAATCAAAAAATAGAAGATAAATTTGATATTTTGTAAACAACTTTTTGTATTTATTTTAATCTTTGTTTTTTTTACATTTCTGAATGTTTTGTTGTTGTGTTTTAAAACAATGAGAAACAATTTCTTGTCAATCGAACATAAAAGAATTGTTTCAAAATAAAAAACTCAAGTATATATTCTTTTTATTGAAAGGATACTAATTCATTAGAAAAAAAATTATAATACGTATAAATATTTTGTATTGATGAAATTATTGTATTTAAACAAACCAATCAAAATAATCAATTTTACTTCATCATTATTAAACAATTTTTACAACAAATAAAGATTAATGAACTTGATGATATTAAATTCATTTATAATGTTATGATAAAATAAACTAGCTATTACTGATTAACTATTCAAATAAATATTTGTTCTTAATTTTATTTGTTATTTCTATTATTATTATATAGTACTATTAAAAACAAATTGATTAGAAATTTAAATTAGTAAACAAAATATTATGATTATCTGTTTTGTATGGTACTTGTATCATTTTGTTTATTCCTTTTAACAAATGGGTTTTTGCTAACTTTCTATCTCTGTTTGGTATGGTTTCCTTCTTCTAAGAAGTGGATTAAAATATTTTTTTGGCTATTAAAAAAAGGAAAACTTTCAAAGATAAATTAAGAAGTCATTAGTGGATTTTTGTTTTAACTCTGTGACGTAGTGAGTTTGGTACTTTGAGTTATTTGAAAGAGTGAAATTTAGAGATGTATCCATAAAAATACAGGATATCTTTTACAAACTTTAATAGAGTGTTCTTTTAGTTTAGAATCACCAATGATTATGAAAAATTCCATGAAAATAAGATTACAGAGACTTTTTTGATTTTATATCTCCATTATATCTATAAATCGAAATAAATATAAATGATTCAAGATAATAAATAAAAAGTATCCACTGTTCATTAACACTAACACTAAAATAAAGACTAACGTAGTTTATCTTTATGTTTTTGCTTAAAAAGGAAAATTAAATTAAGATATCATTACTGATTTTTTGATATCCAAAAGATTGAACAATTAGTAATAAATATATACTTTCTATCCTCAATAAATTGATTCTTTCCATAAAGATAAAGAATAATTTGCTAGTCAATAAATGAAGAGATTATAATATATAATTAATTTGATGCTATTTCAATCAATATATTGAAATTGAATTAAATTTCAACATCCTGTTTAATATCACTGAGTTTTTGTTGAGAAAAAGAGAATCTTTTTTTAATTTATCAATAAAAAAATTCATTTTGAACGAATGAAGTAATAGAAATTATAGAGTAATCAAAACACTATAATCTAAATTGGTTATTAACTCCTTCATGAAAGAAATATGAATTCTATTATTTAGAAAGATTTTTAGAAATAGAACCTTTGTTTAGATTCACTATAAATAATTCTTTTTTTTATTTTTGGTATTGATGATATTTTTCTTTATTTCAGTCTATTAAATCAAGAGATGATTGAATATATTTGATTGGACGCTATTTTTTTAATTCTATAAGTAGTTTGGCTATTTATTTTCTTTAATCAAAAAATAGTAAAATTAAAGTTAAATCTTAAGATAGTATGATATTCATTTCAACGTTTAGGTAATCTTTTAAAATAGTAAGTATATAATATAAATATGTTGTCCTTTCATTTTCTAATTCCCATTTTTCAATTTATTTATTTCTATTTCTATCTATAATTTAATTTGTAAGTCATATTTTGAATTAATTGCACTGGGAATTTAAGCAATAATTCTGTTAATTGTAATACTATTTATTGAATATTTTGTAATTAATTCTTTAGTTTATCATTTATTTAAGTATTACAATTTTGATAAAGTTTTTTATTAAGAGAATGTATGAAGAATAAGAAACAGAACCAACGATTTCATAACCATTTATAAAAATAAGAAAGAGAAAAACATAATGTTTCATTTTTGTTATTAGAGTAAAAAGTTGAAAAAAAAAAGAAAAAGGAAAGTAATAAAAAAATAATAAAGAAACTAACACATAAATTAAAACTTATTGAATGAATAAAATGAAAGAGTTCATTAGAACTGGTTCATTTAAATGGATTTTTCTGAATCAACAGAGGAAGAAGTAGTAAAGGAGATAAGTCCAGTTCCAAAACATAGGTTAATACCTCAAAAAACAAAAGGAGTTCCTGAAATAACTACAATGGTTCTAGAAGACAATTACAAGAAACCATTAAAAAAAGAAATTAGTGATGAGATTTTTGAAATAAAAGATGACATCGAAATAAGGTGTCCAAAACAAATAGAAAAAGAACTTTACCTTATGGAAAAAGTTGGGACAGGAAAAGAAGAAAGTGAATTTGAGCAACATGACATCATTAGATTAAAAAAGGTTGTAGAAGAGTTTTCTAATAAATTACCAGTTAATAAAATACCACTCACTGATGAAGTAATAAATGATTTGTATGGACCTGTTAATCCAATACTTGAAAATAGTGAAGAGATAGAAGAAGAAATAAAAACAAGAAATGATATTGAAAATATTAATACAGGTGTTTTATCATTAGATGACATTCCTGGTGAATTGGATGATGTCTTTAATGAATTTGATATTCCAAAAGAAAGAAAAAAAGAAATCAAAGATTTTTTTGATGATTTAATAGAAAACATTTTATTAACTGTTGGCGATAAAGAAGTTGTTCGTTCAAACATAAAGTTAGCTAAACTTTTATCTTCAAAACTTGGATTTCCTCATGAATTATTACTTCATATAAATAAAGAAGTTGCTGATTTAATGAAGAGTAATTTAGGTGTTCGTCTTCCACACGACTCTTTTTCTCTTAATGTTATTCGTGATAAAAAAAGACGAAACAAGTTATATGAAAAGTTCTTAGGAGATAATACTTCTAATAGTGATGAGGTTGAACAAAAACCAGAATTGTGTCAGCCATCTTTTACTCAATCACTAGGTGGAGCTGCAGAAAATTTATTGGAAGGAAATAGCTATAATTCAGTTAAAAGAAAAAAAAGTAAAGAAAATGAAAATGTTGAAGTAAAAAAAAAACTTACTCCTGGCTCTTTTTCAGTTATCTTTCCTAAAGAAATAGGGGTATTTGAGTATACCCAACCTACTAAATGTCTAATCAACTCTGGTACAATTTCACAGTCAGGAAAATATCAACCTGGTCAACGTCAACCCGATAGCTCAATTACAAAAAAAGTATCAGAAAGTGGTGTTACTCCTCTATTAATGAAACCAGTTATTAAAAAGGATTTAAGACAACAAACGCAAGAGATGGGTGTGGTAGATGATAATAGAAAGATTGATTCATTAGAAAAAGAAAAGCCAACACTAAAAAAAGAACAACAAGATGATACTTCTTTCAATGAGAATAAACAAATAAGTGATTCAGATAACGGTGTTGATAAACAAACGGGTATTCCATTTATTGAAGAACAAAAAAATCCACCAACTGATTTAAGCATTGATAAAAAATTATTTAGAGATATTACACAAGAATTTTTTGGGTGGAACCAGAATAAGTTTATTGATGACATTGTTTTTAACCAACTAAATTCAATTAATAGTAAGTTTAGGATAAGAGTACCTAGTCATTCAGTTCATAAAAAATTAATTGAAAAACCTCGACAACTTTTTAAAATATATGTACCTGAATCTCAGGTGTCTCTTTCTCCTTATAACCCAAGTGTAAATAATACCCCTGTTCAATCTCAAATAAATGTTCTAGAAAACAAAACTCATAAAATAGACCAAACTAATGCAATTAAAAAGACAAAAAAATATGGTGTTAAAAAGAAAGCTTTTGAGTTACAAAAAGAAAACAAAGACTCCCAAGTGTTACAGGAAAAAACATTAACAAAAGAAGATATTGAAAAAATAATAAACTCTTTAAAAGAATTAGGTCAACAAAAAGAAGTAAATCAACAAAAAGAAGTTGACCAACCAATCTCCGAAAGTGCAACTGAACCAATAAAACCATTTGAAACTAAAGAGGTAGTAGACGAAGGGTGTATTGGTTTAACATCCACTATAAAAGCCAACAACAAAAAACAAAAAAAAATAGTGAAAAAAAAGAATACCAAAGCATTAATAGTTGGACGGAGTTTCTTACAAGAAGACGATAAAAAGGAGCTAATGGAAAGAATAGCACAAATAAAAATACTTGATCCAGAACAATCACGTAAAGTAGCTGAAGAAACAAAAGGGTTAGATAATGCTAGAAAAAAAGAACAAGAAGAAATAAAGAAATGGGATAGTTCAAAAGCACAATTCTGGGACACTACTATTTCTAGAACAGAAGAAGAAAAAAGAAGACAGGACTCTATCACAAGGATAAGAGAGGATAGCAACACAGAAACAAAAAGTCGAAAGGATAAAGAAGTACTTGGATACAAACATGATGAAACAGGAATCAGCGAAAGTGACAATACAAAAACATGGGACGATCCAATAAGAACAGGAGAAATTAACAGAACACAACTGTGGGAAATAAAACAAATAAAAAGTACAGAAGAAGAGAATACAATACTACAAGAAGAGTACAACTTTAGATCTAAAGATGTATCAAAAATACCTGAAGATGACAAAACAATAACAGAAGAAGAGGAGTCAACAACGTTGGAGGATGACTATTTGAAAAAACAAACAAAAGAAGAGTTAAGAATATGGGAACCAAAGAAGTTGATACAAGAAAAAAGAAATCTACTAACAAAATCAATTCTAGAAGGAGAAATACTTACTAAACAATTTAGGGCATCTGTTCCTACTCAAACAATAAATGAACAAATCGGTATGGACAAAAAAATCAAAATAGTTGAAGAAAAGAAGCATTTAGAAAATGATACAAAAGACAAACCCAAAGAAATGCAAAAAAAGGAAATGAATAAATTAAAAAAAATAGAACAAGAAAATGAGTTATTACCAAATGAACCAAAACCAATAGAAGAAGAAAATGACGTACTTTTAAATAAATTAAAAAAACTAATAGAAGAAAAGTATATGATACCACAATCAAAAAAACCAGAAGAAGAAACTCCAACAAACAAACCAAAACAAGTAAGAAAAGAAAAAGACATAGAACCAAAAAGACCAACAAACGAAATAATATCAAATGAAATAAGACTACCAGAAGAAGATGATGATGCACTTCTAAATAAATTAAAAAAATTACTCGAAGAAAAAGACATAACATCTCAATCAAAAAAACTTGAAAAACAAATACCAAATGAACCAAAACAAATAGAAGATGAAAAAAATATAACTCCAAATGAATCAAAACAACTAGAAAAAAACAATGTAATACTAAATGATCTAAGAGAACTGGAAAAGGAAAAACAAATAGTATCAAATGAACCAAAACAAGTAGAAGAAAAAGAAATAACACCAGACAAATTAAAACAAGTAAGAAAAGAAAAAAACATAAAACCAATAAACCAAGAAAAAGACATAAGACTAAACGAAATAAAACTAACAGAAGAAAGTGATATGCATTTAAGTGAATTAAAAAAGTTACTCAAAGAAAAAGATATAACACCTCAATCAAAAAAATATGAAAAACAAATAGAAGAAGCAAAGGATACAGCACCAAAATCAAAAAGACCAAAAAAAGAAATGATGCCAAATGAAGTGAAACGAACAGAATATGATGATATGTTTTTGAATGAATTAAAAAAACTTATAGAAAAAAAAGATATAACATCTCAATCAAAAAAGCCTGAAAAACAAATGACTAATAAAATAAAACATGTAGAAGAAGAAAACAATGTATTACAAAATGAAATAAGAGAAGTAGGAGAAAATGGTGTAATACCAGTTGAACCAAAGCAAGTAGAAGAAGAAAAAGGTACAGTGCTAGATGTGTCAAAACCACTAGAAGAAAAGGAAATGGTGTCAATCAAATCAATAAAAATAGAAGAAGAAAAGGATACACTGTCACAACCAAAGAAAATAGAAGGAGAAATGCCAACAAACAAACCAAAACGAGTAAGAAAAGAAAAGGACATAAAGCCAGAGAGATCAATAAAAAAAATAAAACAAGTAGAAGAAGGGACAGTTCCAAAACCAAAAGGAGAAGAAGAAGAAAAAGGTACAACAATAAATGGACCAAAACAATTTGAAAAAGAAACAATACCAAACGAACCAAAAGGAGAGGTAGAAGAAGTAAAAGACACAATGTCTGATGCACCAAAATCTGAAGAAAACCAAATAATATCAAATGAACCAAAAGGAGTAAGAAAAGAAAATAGCACAAGGTTAACACCAAAAAGAACAACAAAAGAAATAAGACTAACAGAGGAAACAACACCAACACTAAAACAAGTAAGAAAAGAAAACGTCACAAAACCAACATTAAACGTAGGTGAAGAAAAAGAGATAATACTAAATGAAACAAAACAGTCAGAAGCAAAAGGTACAATTCCACAGTTAAAAAAACCTGAAAATCAAATAATACTAAATGAAATAAAACAAGTAGAAGAAGAAAATAATTTAATACCAAACAAAATAAAAGGAGAGATAGAGATAAAGGACACAATACCAAATGAAATAGACTTAACAGAAGAAGAAAAAGAAATGATATCAAACGAACCAAGAAAAATGGAAGAAGATGATGAAACAACACCAATAAGGCAAGAAAATGAGTTACTACCAAACAAACCAAGTCGAGTAAGAAAAGAAAAAAGTACACCACCAAGAATAAAAAGAGCAAAAAAAGAAATACTTAATGAAATAAAACAATTGGAAGAAGAAGAAACAACACCAAAACGAGTAAGAAAAGAAAAAGACACAAAACCAAAAAGACTACCAAAAGAAATATTAAACGAATTAAAACTAACAGAAGAAACAACACTAAGTGAACCAAGAAAAATGGAAGAAGAAAAAGAAATAATACTAGATGAACTAAAACCATCAGTTGAAGAAAACGACACAAAAACAAAAAAAACAGAAAATAATATAAAACCAAAACAAACAGTAGAAAAAGAAATAACACCAAAAGAGTCAAGAAAAATGGAAGAAGAAAATAACTTAATAAGAAATGGACAAAAAGGAGTAGAAGAAGAAACAGTTCCAAAGTCAAAAGGAGTAAAAGAAGAAAATGATACAATACAAAATAAACCAAAAAAAATGGAAGAAGAAGAAAATGATACAAGCACAAAACAAATAGAAGAAGAAAATTGTGTAATACCAAATGAACCAAAACAAGTTGAAGAAAAAGAAAGTAATATGACTTTAAATAAAATTAAAAAAGTAATAGAAGAAAAAGATATAACACTACAACCAAAAAAACTAGAAGAAGAAATACTATCAGGTCAACAAAGAAAAATGGAGGAAGAAGAAGAAAGTAATACAAAACCAAATCAAACTAAAGAACAACAAGAAATAATCCCAAATCAATTGAGAAAAATGGAAGAAGAAGAAATAATACCAAATGAATTAAGAAAAATTGAAGAAGGGGAGTTAGAAGAAAAAGTTAAAATGAATGCAGTATTAAAAAAGGAAAATAAAAATAAACAAAACACATTAAAAACAAAAATAACAAAAACACAAGAGGAAGACATAACACCAGAATGCAAAAAGTTAGAACATAAAATAGTAGCTAATGTTCAAGAAAAAGATTTAGATAAAGAAGTAAGTTTATCTAAAATATTAGAAGTTAATAAAAAAATTCAATCACAAGACTCTCAATCACAAAAAACAAAAAAGTTAAAAGCCCCTCAACATTCAGATGATATAGAAACAAAAACGAAAATACCTAAATTATCAGGAAAAACAATTAGACCTCCTGTTATTGAAACTCAAAATAATACTGATGAACAACAAATAAACCAAAATGGGATCAAAGATATCTCAGAATTAATTTCAGAGCCTTCTGTTACTGAAGACGTCACTAAGAAACATACAGATATAGAAAAAAAGGAAACTGATAATAAACAACCAAAAATTATTTTATCAGACCAACTGAATAAAACAAAAAAAGATAAAAAAACAAGAAAAGACAGCACTACTAATGAGAGTATTTCACTTGAAAAGGATACTAAACAATCAGGAACTCAAATAAAAAATAAAAAAATAACAAAGTTATCAACTGGAAGTGTTGGCAATGGTCTTGATATTTTAAAAAATTATCAAATCCAACACCAAAGAAAAACTACAATCAATCCTAATCAACAACCAAGTATTAATATTTCAATTATTAATGAACAAGCATTATTACACAAACCAGTAGAAATAAGAAAATTATCAACTGGACGAGTTGAAAGTGATATTTATAATATACCAAATTTAAACTTAGAAATAACTGGACTAAGTAATTTATCTGAAGGAACTACAAAGGACGTTATTCAACCAATAAACCCAAGTCAACTCCAAATGCTCAAACTTAATGAAAGTGATCAAGAAACTACATCATCACTAAGAATAAATGATAATTTTCAAGGAATACAAAAACATCATTTAGATACTCAAAACATTAAAATTAAATACGTCTCTCCAAAAATCAATAAAGTTATTACTCAACTACCTTTAGTTGAAGAACAAAGTTTAATAAAAAGTCAAGAAAAATACACTCATTTTCTTCCAACTACTAATGAACAATCAAGAATTAATATAATAAAAAGAAGAAAATTATCTATTGGAAGAGTTGAAAGTGAAGTTTATAACATTGGACCAGAACAACTTATTAGTCTTACTGAAAAGTGTGACATTCATAAAAAGAAAGAAAGTGATACCAAACCACCAAAAATCTTAAAGGCATATCAACAAAATGAAATAGAAAAAGAAAAAAAAGCAAAAAAAGAAGAAAAAGATATAAAACAACCAGAAATTCAAAAGAAAAGAAAAACAGTTGGAAAACTATCTGTTGGACGTGTCGAGAGTGATGTTTATAACATTGACCAACAGATTAAAAAAGAACAAACTGTAATTATCAATCAACAACCAATTGTTAGTACCTCATTAATTAGTCAACAAAAAATTCTAAAACCTATAAAAATAAGAAGGTTATCTACTGGAAGAGTTGAAAGTAATATTAATAGTATTCCTCATAAAATTACAAAAGTAACGAGACTATCAACTGGAAGGGTTGAAACTAGTGTTCATAAAATACCACACCAACCAAGCACACATACTATCTACCAATTTGAAACAAAAATTAACAAACCCTTTGAAGTTAAATCAGAGATACGAAGAAGAAAAAGCATAAAAGAAATATCTCAAACCCCACAAAATTCTGTTTTAAATCAAGCACATTTACCTATAAATATTTCTATTGTTAACGAATCACAAATACACACCCCAATAAAAATAAGGAAACTATCTGCTGGACGTGTTGAAAGTAATGTTCACAACATACAATATCAATTCCCTCAATCAGAACCAAAAATACTACTCAATCCGAATCAACAACCAACTCTTAATCTTTCAGTTATTAATGAACAACCAACTCACAAACCAATAAAAGGAAGATTGTCCATCGGAAGAGTTAAGAGTGATATTCATGTAGTTAAACCTAAACGACCTAAACTTCCAAATTCTCTACAAGAAAAACGTCTTAAAGAAAAAAGAACATCAATTACCACAAATAGATCTTATGATGTAGAGTTGCAAAAAGACCATTTGGTTTATAAAATTACTCCAAAAATATTGAAAGATCAAAATATACCAAAACAAACAATAGAGTCTTTTAAAGAAGAAGACAAAAAGAAAAAATCGTCTGACCCACAAACATATAGAAAGTCTTTTAGATACTCCAAACTTTATGAATTTAAGAAATAGATTAAAATGATTTACTTATTTGTTTATACTCTAACATTTCTTTCTTTTGATTTATTTAACTTGATTTATTAAAGGTAATAAAATACTTTCTTCGTTAAATTGTCACTCTTCAAAATTTTATTCTTTTTACTATCGACGACGTTGGACAGTCATCTCAACATGATTAAAAGACAAATGTTGTGGTTTTTTAACTTACTACTTACACT